AATCCTGACACTTATCAATCCTGACACTTATTAATCCTAGCAGTTATCAAATCTGACACTTATTAATCCTGACACTTATCAATTCTGACACTTATCAATCCTGACACTTATCAGTCCTGACACTTACTGATTCTGACACCAAACCTTGCTCTCTACAACCTCAGTCCACAATCCTGAAACTCACATATCCTTGCAATCCATAAACTCAGCACTTACCAGTCCTGGCTTTCAATAATATTGGCACCTACAAATCATAACACTTGGCATTCCACGTTCATGGCACCTATCTAACCAAGCCTGGCTGTAAACAACCCTAGATTTTTGTAATCCTGGATCTCCACAATCTTGGCACCAATCCTAACTGTCCAAATCCTGGCTCTCTTCAACCCTTGCCTACAATCCTAGCCGTTACCAAACCTCTCTTTCTGAAATTCAGACACATACCAATTTTGGCATTCCACAATCATGACACCCATCAATCCTGGTTCTAACAAATTCTGGATCTTTGTAATCCTGGCTCCTCACAATATGAAATTTTTATTGTGGCTCTCCATAACTATGTCGCTTTTTGAGACGTATCAAAATTTGTTTTTATAATTCAAAAAGAGCCAACCAATACATACTCGATGCTTATTGCCTTGTTGGTGTCCTTCCGAGTGATATAATTTTTATATCCAGTTTAAAAATAAGATAAATATTTTTAAGTTTTATATGACGGACCACTCACATTAAATATGTATGAAACATTATTACAACCAAATTATCATAATTAGAGGTTTTGCTTTGGAAATGATTAGTATTTTATGAGATTTTCAATTTTATACCAAAAATATTTATTTATTTACTTATTTATTTATTTATTTATTTATTTATTTATTTATTTATTTCCTAGTTGTTTGTTCATTCGTTCATTCATTCGTTTTATAACTGATGCTAGAGATGGTGATTAGGTGCCTCATTTCCATGACAACATGTGATGGCCATCTACTATGGTCATCTAACAGTGATTCATCTTTTGTACAGGGTCAGTGTTAATTAGTGTGTATTTAACAGCTTCAAAGGTTACACAAATTTACTAGAATACAATTTGTATCAGAAATTTGGACAAACATCTATTTATATTCACTTTTTAAATTATAATGACAATTATTTGTAAGATATTATCTGATTGTTTACCCTTAGCTTTGGATGACAATATATGTGTATATTAAAATTACATAATGTACAGTATATTTGCACCAATATTTAATTTACTGGTGAATACAGTACATTTTGTAATGATCTCTTTACATCGGTGTAAAAAAAAGCTAAATATTACTGGTAAATGTAGTGATAACATAATCCACTATGTACATGATGTTATATTAAAAGTATTGAATTAGTGACACATTTATTTTAAGTGAGATTCAACATTTTTTGTGAGTCAATTGCTTAATATACATTGTATGGTGTACAGTATTTTCTCTATTAGTAGGGCATGACCTAAATGATAGGGGGGTGTCTATGGTTCCAAAAAGTCATATTTTCAACAATCCAGTATGCAATACAAGCAACTGTTGATTTATATATGCACTTCCAATAGAGTAAATATGGTATATAAAGGGTTAAAATTGCTCTGGACTTACATGGTTCTTAATGCCTAGCTCTTCTTGATTATTATTCTTGACTGCAGATTGAGGTAAACTTTTCTATGGAAATCTATAGAGTGTTCACAGTGAAATACATGGGTGTAATACAAGTGGTTTATTTACTCTTTGCTCACTTTGTATATTCAAGTTTTAGTCTTTGAAATTTGTTTGCAGTATTTATGAATTCTGTGGAATGAAATGAACATGATTTGTGTAATCATATCATAACTAACATTTTGTTGTTTAATTGTTCATTTTATGATACCTGGATGTCCTGC